CCCCTAGGGGTTGTGCGGAGCTTTGGAATATATTCCTAAGTCACAATGATAAAACTTTTAGCGTAGTTAGGTTCCTGAAGCGCCACTAGATGGCATGAGGCGCGTGATTTAGTGTACCAGGATAGTATAAATTCCATAGTATTTGATACGCGCAACGCTTGATATCCGATTCATGCTTGATGCTCGACGGCCGGTGACCGTTTTCTTAACATACTTCGATTGAGAGAATAGAAGAGTGCATCTGCATCCTCGTACACTTGGTGCACTTTAATGTCTACAGCGTATTTTACTTGTCTATGTTAAGATCATTATATTTTTTAAATTCATGCAGCTAAAATTATAATAAATTTATTATTACTTTATATTTTTCAGGGACAGATCAAAGAAAGAGTAGCCTCATCATATGTCACTCGTGACATAACCCCTCCACCTTTGAAATCACAAGAAAGAAGTGTTCAATTTACACCAAGAAAAAAAAACTTTTATCGAAAATCGAGAAATTAAAACAAAATCTGATAAAAAACGTAGTTCGGAGCTATTCTATATATGTTGCTGTAACTTCAGAACTTTGTTAGTGCGATTTAGGCTTCGATATGTTTCGCTTGTGGCGCGACGACAGCGTCACCACATCACCCCTATACTCAGACCGGAGATTTATAGTGCAGTCCGATTGCAAGTGCCAGGGATTGCCTTGTAGTCTGCGGTGAGTCGAGAAGAAGGCAAGTAATCTGCGAGAGTGCCGTGAAGCAGAAGCGAGCATTAAGGCTCAGAGCCGTGCCGAATACTGTAGCGCAGAGAGTAGCTTGAAGGAACAGGAAGCATTATTATTCCAGTGCTGCGATGAACCTTTGTAAAGTTAGATGGCTTGCAAAATGTGAAGACTGCAGACAATATCTGCTCGGGAGCGAATGAATGGGGTACTTGAGGAAGTTTTGGAGGAAGGTTTTGAATTTGTAGTTTCCGAAGGTTGTTTGTTGCGTGTTCATATTACGTCGGGGTCACCACTGTGACTGGTGGAAGGAAAAGGGGAGATCTCCCGCCGCGCAAGATGTTCTGCCCGGGGAGCGGCCAACGCTCCGATTGGTAGTTCGGAGCTATTCTATATATGCTGCTTTAACTTCGGAACTTTGTTAGTGTGATTTCGACTTCGATATGTTTTGCTTGTGGCGCGACGACAGCGCCGCCACAGGCATTTGGTATCGCAGCCTTTTTTTAAATGGAGCAAAGACCAATATTTTTATAGAACATTGTATTTATGTAATACAAAATGTTACGCTAGCGCACGTGGATAAAGCAGTTAGAGAGCGCCGTTTCTTCCGACTTGCTTAACAAAAATCAATATATAAGGTTAGCTGATAGTTATATGCTAGATAGCCTATACTATTCCTCATGAATCTGGCTATTATATGCAAAAATTTTAAATTTGAACCGGTAGGTATTAGTGTTTTAAAACAAACAAAAAAAAACAAACAAAATAACTCTTCCGCTTTAATTTATTAGTATAGATTAAATGATTTTGTTTTGTTGGTTCTGTTTCCGATTCTGTTTTATAAATAATAACGGTAATAATTATATAAAAAATAAAGCAGCCATTATATACTCCCTGTCTTCGTTTTTTATTTTACCAGCAAAACATTTTATAAAATTGAAATAGGTTGATACTTAATTAAGTATCTACCTATTTATATTTGGTTAACATTATGTTGAAAAAGAAATAAATTCCGTGGAAATTGTAAATTGCATTAAATATTTTTCTCCAGAGGTCAAAAATATAACTTTAGAGGTCAAAAATAGACTTACCTCGCCTCTTCAGATATTATTGCAATTTTGTACATTTTGAATTAAAGTCCAACAAAAGGCAAGTGGTGTCGGTGAAAGAATTTCCACTTCCCAATGTCGTCCCATGTGTATTATAAAAGGTGACAAAGGGAAACTGAAAGAGGCGATGGGCAGCAGCATCTTCCTGATAACAACTCGAAATTATAAAAAACTGTGGTTGACAACCCGCTGGCCAAGCGATGGCAAATATCCCTCCTATGAGGCAATCCTATGAGGCCCATGTTGAGCAGTGGATTTTTATAGGCTGTAATAGATTATGGATGATGGAAAAGGCAGGTGGGTGCAGCTTATTCCCGGTAACATGTTATTTGAATATTTTTAGTTATTTTAAAACTATCATGGTAAAAATTTAGTTAATTTTTAATAAAATAGTTAAGTGCACAAAAGTTATTCAGTTCTGTGCACTAAACTATTTTTTTAGTCTTTAAACCGGTTTCTAAACAAAAAATTTTCGATAGCTCTTTTAAGTAAAATGTACATCACTAGCCAACTCACACAATAATAAATCAAAATTGGTCACGCGTTTTCGGGCTTTCAGGTCGTCTATACGCCAGTATATCCTAAGTCTATGTTATAAACTATAAAAATAATATTTTGGCGAATAAAATTTCTTTATGTCTGAATGCAAAACAAATTTCAGCATCTTCCTATGATTATTTTACCAATACTGACTTTTAACAGTGGTAGAGCTAAACGGTAGCTTTTGCTGTCGCACGGATGGGCCAGCTCAAACCGGGGTGGTACCACGACCTCACAGAATACCAGCGTAAAGTAGAGGTTTACCTCTGCGTTGCGCTTGGTGAATGCAGGTGGCCGGAGGCCCAATCCCCCCCCCCCCCCCCCATCAACATGGTAGTGGAATTAAATAAAAGACTACCCCAGGAGGGTACCAGCACCCCTGGAGAATCCCTCGCTGAGCATCCCCGACCAAATTACTTCACTCCTGAGCGTGTGTGCTCAGGCTGCCCCGCGTATTCTGGGGGGGGGGGGGCAAAATTCCGCTCGCGACTAATGCTGCTCGGGGCAAGCGGAGCAATACAACCAAGGCGACCCCTGTCACGCTATCCGTGAATTTTTGCAACTGGGACTTCATTCCAACCTTAACGCTGTCCATTACCATCTAGAGACGGCGAAGCCGACCTTGCTCTTTTTAACCGAGACTCAGGTGTCCTCTCTGGCTGATACTTCATATCTCTCCTACCCGGGGTACAAATTGGAACACTCCTTTGTGCCCCGGGCTGGAGTTTGCGTATACGTCAGAGAGGACATCTGTTTTCGACGCCTCGGCAGTCTTGAAGGTACGGACCTGTCCATCCTATGGCTGCGCGTAGACAGCGACGACCATCCCCGCGTCTACGGGTGCCTCTATAGGTCCCATAGCGGTAATGCCGACACAGACCGACTCATCGACCACGTTCAAATGGCTGCAGACTCCGTGCTACAACAGGTCCCATCCGCAGAGATCGTGTTACTTGGTGATTTTAACGCCCACCACGCTGAATGGCTTGGTTCTCGTTTAACCGATCATGCGGGTAGATCTGTCTATGACTTTGCTTTGGCATATGGTCTAACACATCTGGTTACTTCGCCTACGCGGATCCCAGATGTGGAAGACCATGTACCTTCCCTGTTGGACCTGACCTCTCATCCGGACGGATATCAGGTCTCTCACCTCGTAACTCACCATACGAAACACAGCAGCGTTAAGCTGCTATTTTACAATATGTTGATGCGTCACATTGTGCAGCACTTGGGAGATTTTGACGGCAACTTGAGTCAGCAGACAGCTGATGTTGGCGATGGTATCTCAAGACACCTAAGCAGACAGCATGAAGCAAATACAAAGAGGAGATGGCATAAGCAACTGTGCACTGTGATTCTAAGTAGGTCCTGACGTTATCATAGTGGGCGTGGCTTTAGTTAGTATATTGTCAGCATTCGGCCTGTGCGCTTATGTGTTGAAAATCGCAAATCGGTGTATTTTCGTAGTATTAAGAAGAAAAAGATGAAGTGTTATGTTTTATCGTGTAAAAACTACTCAGATAGACGCTCTAATGCTATGGATGGCATCACATTTCATTTGTAAGTAATTTTACACCTAATCCATCAAAATAGTTCTAGAAAAATCTCTTTGCGTCGACTTTCAAATATAATTAAATATATTCGACACTAGATGGCGACACTTTGTGTGATGTGAACTAAAAATGTAAAGGTACGTAGAGCTCAGTTTTTTTTTTAGAAGAGGGGGCAAACGAGCATGCGACTCATCTGATGGTAAGTGACTACCGCCGCCCATGAACAACCGCAACACCAGGGGAATTGCAGATGCGTTGCCGGCCTTTTAGAAAGGTGTAAGCTCTTTTCTTGAAGTTTCCTAAGTTGTATCAGTCCGGAAAATTCGCTGGTGGTAATTGATTCCACAAGGAAGTTGTGCGAGGGAGAAAACTTCTTCTAAATCGCACAGTGGTGGACGGTGGATTGGCGGTCCACCACTGTGCGATTTAGAAGAAGTTTTCTCCCTCGCACAACTTGATAACGTCAGGACCTACTTAGAATCACAGTGCACAGTTGCTTATGCCGTCTCCTCTTTGTATTTGCTTCATGCTGTCTGCTTAGGTGTCTTGAGATACCATCGCCAACATCAGCTGTCTGCTGACTCAAGTTGCCGTCAAAATCTCCCAAGTGCTGCACAATGTGACGCATCAACATATTGTAAAATAGCAGCTTAACGCTGCTGTGTTTCGTATGGTGAGTGTAGAGAACCGGAGACCCTTTTTACTGGCAAAGAGGCATTCCATCTTAGTCCTCACGGGTGAAAACGCATCTGCATCTTGAGTCTTTATTGAGGATAGATGTAGATGTCTATGGGTCACAGTAACCACTTACCATCAGGTGGACTGTGTGCTCGTTTGTCACCCGATCCTATAAAAAAAAATTGTAAAGCAGTGTACTATGAGGGATAAATAATTGTGCAGTGTAACTTAAGGGCTAGAACCCAGAGCCGTAAAGCCAGTTATAAAACAAGTTAAAAGTCAAACTGAAGTTTCAAAATAATTTTTAATCTGTTCGATTCTAGTTTTGCAATGTTGATTTATCAATATGCGATTGTTTTGAATTAACATTATATTCATGAATTAAATTTTACATGAATAGCTACTGAAATGCCTAAACCAACTTGTATACAATGTGGTACCAATGATTCTTTGCTCTGGCGAAGCGCGGAAAACGGGGAAATATGCAATGAATGTCACCTAGCAAATAGCTCAAATAAAGAAGCAAAACTTGATGCTTCGACTGTAAAATCTGAAACTGACGATAAGAAAGAGGATAAGGAAGACGTAGAAACGAAGAACGGAAAAAATGAGATTGAATCTACTCCTGCGAAAGCCACTGGAAAAGGGACACGAAAAAGTACTAGAGCCACTCGCTACAAGTCGAAAATTCCAGCTCCTACGCCGTCTAAACCTCCTGCACCGCGTGGAAGAGGTCGTCGGAGTATTTTTAAGCGTCAGCCTCTTAAAGCTCCTACTGCTACAGCTACTGTTGTGACTAGTGACTCAATATTTTATAAGGTAAGCACATAATTAACTAACTTTGTATGAGCAATAAATAATTTAATTTATTAGAAAATCATAAACATAAAAGAATCCATTAGTTTATATTATCCCATGGGTATCATAAGAGCAGACAGAGGGAAATAAAATGGTGAGCGGCAGCAGTATCTTCCTACATTTATCTTCCATCGCAAATATTCCCCTATCATTCAAATTATTGGGGATCCCTATGTTCAACAGTGGACTCTGATAGGTTGTAGTAAATGAATAGTTGAATAAAATAAGATTTCACTTATTTTCATGTAAAAAAAATTCTGAAATTACTTACTCTACTGTATTAAGAGAGATTCATGCGGGATAAATGGTAATTGCAGGGGGCTCCGATTCCATCACAAGTGACCGTTGTAACCGCTTCAGGGTCACCAGTTAATGCAGCGCTGCTAGTACTACTTGACTGTGCTCATATACAGTTGTATGGACATAATGGATTATTTATTAACCTATTATTGAAAAGCATATCTATTGTTAGAATTAATTTGCGATATCCCCTGTTGTGGTGTTCCTTGGGGGAGGCCTATGTTCAGCAGTGAACTTGTGAAAGGCTGTGATGATGATGATGCTATTTTTGGTTGCATATTTCAAAGTATTGAAGAAATTTTTAATAGCATCTTTTTGTTCTTCAATATGGCCTGTGATTAATAAATTGTGATTGTGATTTAGTGACAAATTAAGTTTTTATTCATATAAAGCAGAGTAATAATAAAGCCAATACCAACTTTACTTGAACATGAACATTAATATAATTTATTTTTACTTAAAAGGATGTCCCAACAACGCATTAAATAATAATTTTTTTTATTTACTAGCTGTTCCCTGTGACTTCACCCGCGTGTAATTTAGGGTTTTAATTTTTTTGCGTGGAACCCTAATTTTTTTTTCTAAAATAAAGTAGCCTAAGTTACTCCTTATCACATCATAGCTGATAGCTCTGCCAGTGAAAGTATGTTTAAAATCGGTCCAGCCGTTTTGGAGATTAACCGGAACAAACAGACAGACAGCCAGACAAAATTTATTAAATTGCATTTTTATTTTTTAGAGGTCTAGTCTAATGAAGTCAAAGCTCCGTCCCCCTCGTGCTCTAATCCAAAGTCCCGAAACCTTTCAGCTCGAGCTACGAAACCGTTTTCTGTGCCTAGAAGATTGCAATGCAGTGGACGATATAAATGACAAGCTCGTGGAAACTGTCCATGCGGTCGGAGCTAAGTTTTGCAAGACCCGCCGCAGAAGAACACAAAAACTCCGATCACACTCTTAATCTCATGGCTGTTAGACGGGATATGAAGCTACAGTCTTCAGTAGCTTTGACAGCGTACAAGCAACTGAACAGACATATCTCCAAATGCATGTGGCGGGACTTCCGCAACTTTAATACTGCTCATATTGAAGAAGCAATCGAGCGGTACCAGGGCTCCAAAGTCTTTGCAAGAGATTTGTCTGCCAGAAAGAACAAGCTGAAGACTGAGCGTGGCAGCGTCATTTCCGGGACACCTGAGATTTTGAGTGAGATTGAGAGGTGCTATGGGCAGCTGTACACATCATCGTTGGAGCCACACGCATGTGTGAGTAACGATCCAAGAGGGAGTCTTATCCGACATCATTCCGATGATATCCCGGACGTCAGTCTGAGCGAGATTAGAATGGCTCTCCAGCACCTTAAAAACGGCAAGGCCCCAGGCGAGGATGGAATTACAGCGGAGCTTCTGAAAGCGGGTGGAAAACCGGTACTTGAAGTCCTTCAGAAGCTCTTTATTTCCGTCCTCGATGGTGGCATTACACCGGAGGCGTGGAGCAGAAATGCGATGGTCTTGTTCTTCAAGAAAGGTGACAACGCTCTCTTGAAGAACTACAGACCGATTTCCCTTCTGAGCCGCGTCTACGTGCTGTTTTCGAGAGTCACTACGAATCGTCTCGCGCGCAGACTTTATGACTTTCAGCCTCCCAAACAAGCCGGTTTCCGAAAAGGCTTTAGCACCATAGACCACATACATACCCTTCGACAAATTGTACAGAAGTCCGAGGAGTACAATTTGCCACTATGTCTGGCGTATATGGAGTATGAGAAAGCCTTTGATTCCGTCGAAATTTGGGCGGTGCTGCAGTCCCTTCAGCGGTGCCAAGTTGACTGTCGGTATATCGAAGTGTTGAAGTGCTTGTACAGCAGGGCTACGATGGGTATCCGAGTACAGAACCAGAGTACGAAACCTATCCTATTGCAGAGAGGTGTAAGACAGGGTGACGTCATATCCCCGAAACTCTTCACCACTGTATTGGAAGACGTTTTCAAGCTTCTGGACTGGAAAGGATACGGTATCAACATCAATGGCGAGTACATCACTCACCTTCGATTTGCCGGCGATATAGTCCTTTTGGCAGAATCGCTGGAGGACCTAAGCACGATGCTCAATGACCTCAATAGTGTTTCCCAACGGATAGGTCTTAAGATGAACATGGACAAAACAAAGATCATGTTTAATGTCCATGACACATCTATGCCGGTAGATGTTGGGAGCACTAAGCTCGAAGTTGTTGACGAGTATGTTTACCTGGGACAAATAGTCTGACTAGGTAAGTCCAACTTCGACCGAAAGGTCAATCGACGGATTTAACTCGGTTGGGCAGCGTTCAGGAAATTACGGCACATCTTCTCGTCAGGTATACCTCAAACTTGAAAACTAGACTGTACAAACAGTGCGTGTTCCCAGTGATGACATATGGAACTGAGACGTGGTCCTTTACTACTGGCCTTATAAGGAAGCTCAAGGTCGCTCAGCGAGCTATGGAGAGGGCTATGCTCGGAGTTTCTCTGCGTGATAAACTTAGAAATGAAGATATCCGCAGTAGAACCAGAGTGACCAACATAGCCCAACGGATTAGTAAGCTGAAGTGGCAGTGGGCCGGCCATATAGGTCGAAGAACCGACAACCGATGGGGAAGAAAGGTTCTCGAGTGGCAGCCTCGTACCGGCAGGCGAAGTGTACGGCGTCCCCCCACTAGATGGAGTGACGACCTCGTAAGATATGCAGGAAGTCGATGGATGCAGGATGCTCAGGACCGTGCTTTGTAGCATTCCTTGGGGGAGGCCTATGTTCAGCAGTGGACTTGTGAAGGGCTGTAATGATGATATATCGGTTGTCTGTGCCAAAAAAGTGTTTCTAACTTTTTTCTTTCTTCTGGCATTTATTACAGTAGTCTCTTAAAACATCAATAGGATGAAATAGTTTGATGAATTATAAACATTTTTATTACATCCAAAAATTTTTAATTTTTCAGGGTAGTTACATGCAAGTTGGAGATATTGTTTCAATGATAGATGTAGAAGGGGGTACATACTATGCACAGATCCGAGGTTTCCTCACAGATCAGTATTGTGAAAAGAGCGCAGTTGTCACTTGGTTGCTTCCAACCAAAGCAAGCCCACCTCCAGAACAGTGTTTTGATCCTGCCACCTACATTATTGGTATTTATATTACCTACTAAACTTTATTGTTTGCTTTTATAATTATTTTTTCTCATACTCATCTTGCATAATTTTATGTTAATAACCAGTGATTGAATGTTTAGTGTGTCCATGTCAAAGTCAAAATTATTTATGAGTAATGATTCTTAAAAAAATTTTTTTGTGTTGATCTAGGTCCAGAAGAAGAGTTGCCACGTAAATTAGATTACATGGAGTTTGTAATGCATGCTCCTTCTGACTACTACAAGGCTAGCAACACTCCTTACCCCTTAACGGACACGGAACTCAATGATTATAATGGTTTTATTTGGACTACATTGGAGCCTAAGGAAAGATCATAAAAATAATGTTACAAATTTTATATTTGTGTAAGTTTAGCTTTACAATAGCCCTAAGTTAAATATATTTGTTACAAGGACTTGGTGTTTATTTTTCTCCATTTTAAGTTTTGCTATATCATCTCAAGAAGATGTAAGAAAATCCATCACCCCTTACCGCATTTTGACACGTGAGGGTCATCAGAGAGGTCTATGGAAAATGCCAGGTCCCAGGTTCCAATGGTTTTTCGTTTACAAAGCTAAGTGGCAAGAACTTCACCAGTCTACCTGCTTTGCGATGCATGGCAATTAACGCTTAAATAACGATAAAATTTTCCTTTGAAATAGAAGGCCGGTAAAGCAGAAATGTTTTGATAAATTACCTATTTAAGATGGTACAGAAACCCACCCAAATCAATTTAATGTTATAGTAGGATGAATAATGACATTTTTACAATTTCTGTTATAAGTAATAGTGTTTGCGTATGAGAACCATTAATGGAAACTATATTTTTTTTTTAAATATTAATAATGTTAGAAGTGGTTCACGACAGTAGTCTAATGGCGGATTCGAACCCACGACCTTTCGAGTTCGCGGTCCGCGCCCTGCCATTAGACTACTGACGATTCATATTACAGGTACTTCTTTAATGATTTTATCATCATCATCATTACAGCCTTTCATAAGTCCACTGCTGAACATAGGCCTCCCCCAAGGAATGCCACAAAGCACGGTCCTGAGTCATCTGCATCCATCGACTTCCTGCATGTCTTACCAGGTCGTCACTCCATCTCGTGGGGGGTCGCCCTACACTTCGCCTACCGGTACGAGGCTGCCACCCAAGAACCTTTCTTCCCCATCGGTTGTCGGTTCTTCGAGCTATATGGCCGGCCAACCACCACTTCAGCTTACTAATCCGTTGGGCTATGTCGGTTACTCTGGTTCTACTGCGGATATACTCATTTATAAGTTTATCACGCAGAGAAACACCGAGCATAGCCCTCTCCATAGCTCGCTGAGCGACCTTGAGCTTCCTCATACGGCCAGCAGTGAAGGACTACGTCTCAGATCCGTAAGTCATCACTGGCAACACGCACTGGTTGTACAGTCTCGTTTTAAGGTTTTGAGGTATGTCTGACGAGAAGATGTGTCGTAGTTTCCTGAACGCTGCCCAGCCGAGTTGAATCCGTCGATTGACCTCTCGGTCGAAGTTGGACTTACCTAGTCGGACTATTTGTCCCAGGTAAACATACTCGTCAACAACTTAGAGCTTAGTGCTCCCAACAACTACCGGCATAGGTGTGACATGGACATTAAACATGATCTTTGTTTTGTCCATGTTCATCCTAAGACCTATTCGTTGGGAGACACTATTGAGGTCATTGAGCATGGTGCTAAGGTCCTCCATCGATTCTGCCATAAGGACTATATCGTCGGCAAATCGAAGGTGAGTGATGTACTCGTCATTGATGTTAATACCGTATCCTTTCCAGTCCAGAAGCTTGAAAACGTCTTCCAATGCAGCGGTGAAGAGTTTCGGGGATATAACATCACCCTGTCTTACACCTCTCTGCAATTGGATAGGTTTCGTACTCTGGTTCTGTACTCGGATAGCCATCGTAGATCTACTGTACAAACACTTCAGCACTTCGATATACCGACAGTCAACCTGGCACCGCTGAAGTTACTGCAGCACCGCCCAAATTTCGACGGAATCAAAGGCTTTCTCATAGTCCACATACGCCAGACATAGTGGCAAATTGTACTCCTCGGACTTCTGTACAATTTGCCGAAGGGTATATATGTGGTCTATGGCTAAAGCCCTTTCGGAAACCGACTTGTTCGGGAGGCTAGAAGTCGTCAAGTCTGCCCGCGAGATGATTCGTAATGACTCGAAAACAGCACGTAGACGCGGCTCAGAAGGGAAATCGGTCTGTAGTTCTTCAAGAGAGCGTTGTCACCTTTCTTGAAGAACAAGACCACCGCACTTCTGCTCCACGCCTCCGGTGTAACGCCACAATGGAGGACGGAATTAAAGAGCTTCTGAAGGACTTCAAGTACCGGTCTTCCACCCGCTTTCAGAAGCTCCGCTGTTATTCCATCGCCGCCTGGGGCCTTGCCGTTTTTAAGGTGCTAGGGAGCCATTCTAATCTCGCTTGGACTGACGTCCGGGATATCTTCGGAATAGTGTCGGATAAGACTCGCTCTTGGACCGTTACTCACACTTGCGTGTGACTCCAACGATGACGTGTACAGCTGCCCATAGAACCTCTCAATCTCACTCAAAATCTCAGGTGCCCCGGAAACGATGCTGCCACATTCGGTCTTCAGCTTTGACAGTTGGCTCTTTCTGGCAGACAGATCTCTTGCAAAGACTTTGGAGCCTTGGTTCCGCTCGATCGCTTCTTCAATACAAGCCGTATTGAAGTTGCGTAAGGTAAGTTCCGCCGCATGCATTTAGAGATCTGTCTGTTCAGTTGCCTGTATGCTGTCAAATCTGTTGAAAAATGTAGCTTCATCTTCCGTCTAACAGCCATGAGATTGAGAGTGTGATCGGAGAGTTTTTGTGTTCGTCTGCGGCGGGTCTTGCAGAACTTAGCTCCGACCGCATGGACAGTTTTCACGAACTAGTCATTCATATCGTCCACTTCATTGCAGTCTTCTAGGCACTGAAAACGGTTTTGTTGTTCGAGCTGAATGGTTTCGGGACTTTGGAACAGAGCACAAGGGGGACGGAGCGTTGACTTCATTAGACGCGACCTCTCCAACTTAACATTTAGGTTCAGTGTGCCTCTACCCTTTCGGTGATCGTTACCAGTTTTCCCTCGCGATCACGCAGACATCACTGAACAGTTGTCGTCTGGTCGTCATAATGAAGTCAATCTCATTTTTTGTCGAACCGTCGGGGCTCGACCAGGTCCACTTCCTGTGGAGCCGCTTCTGGAAGAAAGAGTTCATCATAAAGAGTCCCTCTTTCTCCATGAAGTCGGCCAGGTGCTGGCCCCTTTGGTTCCGTTGCCCTATTCCGAATTTCCCTACTTTCAGCTCACTGTTCTCTCTTGTGCCTAGTTTTGCGTTGAAGTCTCCCATTAACACCGTATAGTGGGTTTTGGAGGAATGCATGGCTCTAGAGATATCCTCATACATTTCCTCCACCTCCTCATCGGGGTGTGCCGAGGTTGGTGCGTAAACCTGTATGACCATCAGCGAATACCGTTTGGTGATTCTGAGTATAAGGTATGCAACCCTCGTCGACACACTCAATCTTTACAATGTTGTTAACGAGAGACTTGTGGACGATAAATCCGACACCTCCTTGGGACAGATGGTCGCCCTCCCGGTGATAGAGTAAGTTGCCGATTCGAGGATTACCGTGTCCTCCCCCTCTCTTCAGACTTCGGATAATCCTATAATATGTCAGCGTAACTTGTCTATCTCTTCTTCCAGCTCCACGATCTTCTCGTCAGTCCTCAGGGTGCGTGCGTTGTATGTTGCCAGGTCGAGTCGTCTTAGGTGACAACCGAACCTCCATCGGAGATTCTTAGCACCCCCTGCCCCGCCGTTACCATGGTCGCCACCGTAGCCAGGAATAGCGGGGCCGCCGGGGACTAGGGGCCGTTTATTATTGGCATTGCTCATGGAGGGTATATTGCCATAGTTGCCACGCTTGGCGAGCGGGTTGGCAACCGCAGTTTTTTTCTTCTAATTTTTGCTGTTATCAGGAAGATGCTGCTGCCCATCTCCTGCCTGTTACCCTTTGTCGCCTTTTACGACACCCACGGGAAGATATGGGGTAGTGGATAATCTTAACCGCCACTACACGGCAAGACACGACTATCTTTAATGATATAGGTACCCTGAGTTTTTCTGTGCTTACGCGGCTTGAGATACTGTCGTCATCAGCTGTCCGGCGGACTAAGACTTCCTGTGTATACTTATTATACTCTTTGATTAAGACAAAATCAAAATTTCTCGAAAACATCGCAATGTTACGCATAAGCATGTTGTGATTAATTTTACGAATAAAATAAGCTGTATGATCTTAGACCTTTGCCAGTTTTAATTAGCAAATGTAACAACACTAATGTACAGTGCTATCAACTTAAAAGACCTAAACGGAATTAGGTGACTACATATTACACATAATGTAAAATAAAACAAATTTCATGTAAATATATTAATTATTATATTATTTATATTTTATAAAAATAATTGTGGTTGTGATCTCGAAGTTCAAGCGGCTGAGCTCCAAGAATTCCTGTTTTGAATGATGCACCCACGTTAACTACGGGTGCCAACGATTCATCTTTTGCGTCACTGAAATCACTGTCACTAACGCTCTGTAACTCTATAATGAAGGGTTCATCTAAATACTCGTCTTTTTGTCTGTACTCATTTTCATTTTTTTCACATGATTACAAATGTTTTCCACTCCACCGGTGTAATTTTATGGAATGCATCTTCAATTAATTGGGGCATTTGAACATTAAGTTTTCCAACATTTTTGTCTGGTACGTTTCTTTTCATAGAGCTCCATATCATTTCAATTGCGTTCAAGTCGCAGTGATCAGGTCTTTATCAGGTCAATATTATGGCCATGACTTTTATGAGGTAATCAATTGCATATTCCGGGGCATGTTTATTTCTCTTTATTAACTCTCTCTACTTTATTTACGAGTTTGTGTACAAATCGCTCAGAAACACCTGTAACAAAACGACAAATAATTATTATATAGGTATAATTAAATAAATATCCGTAAATATGCCCTCACTAAAGCTGCTTCAAAGACCACAAACTACAAACCCTGGTATTTTAGATGAATGACAGTAAGACAGTTTCTTTTACGTGGTAGAGCAATGCTGCAGCTATCTTAGTAGTATAGTTGTAGCACGAATGGGTCGGCTCGACCGGGGAAGGACCACGCTCTCACAGAATACCAGCGTAAAATAGCAGCTTAACGTTGCTGTGTTCCGTATGGTGAGTGTAGAGAATCGGAGACCCTTTTTACTGGAAATGAGGCATTCCATATTTAATCCTCACGGGTGAGAACGCATCTGCATTTTGATTCGTAATTAAGGATAAATGTAGATGTCTATGGGCCGCAGCAACCACTTACCATCAGGTGGACTGTGTGCTCGTTTGTCACCCTTATGCTATAAAAAAAGTAAATTGAGATAATTTTATTAGCACTGTGTTTCAGGAGTACATTATTTGGTGATTTTAATTTTCCATATATGGCAATACTAACCAGTCGCAGCAGCAACGCGTTCATACAACTTTTCAAACGGTGTAATTGCGGCTTGTAAACATTTCTCTTCTTTCATAAAAGATTAAACTTTTAGGATAATCTGCCGCGCATCACTTTTAACAGCTTTAGGCATTTTGTTTGCACTTTTTAAAAACACTGAATAAAAAATAGCTAACAGCGAAATGTCATTTACAAAATGGTGGCATTATATGTACTAGATATATTATATATATATAGATGTCATATTCATATTCTGCGTCTACTATAATATCTACATAATATTCTGAGTCTATATTATATAGAGGTCAGTGCCAAAGAGTATAGCAACACACATCATTTGCATTGCAATCACAGATTACCGTATTACAAAATGCAGTGCAAACAAGTTTTGGCAGGGATTTGACCGCTGGTGAATAGCTGCTCTTGTTTTATCGTTTAAATAATGGATTTGAAGTGAATTTTGAAACGTAAAAGTGGTGTGATTTTTTTTAAACGTCTTACAATGCAAACTATTACTGGAAACGATACAACAAGTGCTTTGAAGGTGATATAAATCTCAGGTTTTTTTATCTGCTTAGGGATCTTGAGATATTATCGTCATTAAAATATCCCAAAAACTGCAATGTGACGCGTCAGATTATTGTGAAAAGTTTTCTTAACAAAATACAAATCAGATAAGGCTGTAAGGTCTAAGACCTTTGCCTGAATTAATTGACGTATCGTAACAACAACAAACCTAAACAAGTTTTCTTGGTTTTCTTTTGAATAGGGTTAATTTTGTTTTTTAGAAATTTATTTCCTGAAAAATATTTTTATTATATGCTATTTTAACTTACTTATTAGCCTGCCAATAAATTTCAAAATGAGCCGCAAGGAAGCCTTATCATCGTTCATACAGCAAATTCACGGCAGGCCAGTAGTAGTCAAATTAAATAGCGGCGTTGATTACAGAGGTATACCGAATTTCTTTTACTTTTTCCGTTAATTGTTAGAAGGTCCAAAATAAAAAATATAAAAAACATCATATAGTTTTAAAAAGCAAAAATAGTGCACATAATTTTATAACAATAACAATATACCTATGAGGTTAGCTGCAACTTTCACCGGCATTGTTTTGACTTGATGAAAACAAAGAGACCAGGCATTATTTTGGCATAATATAACGTAACTCTTTTTTTAACAGCTTACAAATTGCCCTAGGTAAACACACCCATCAATAGATCATCTTTCAACACTAAAAGTTAAGTCCATGCAAATAAATTAATTATAGGTAATTTATTTTATTTGGTTGTATTATATTCTACTGTTTAGAGTAATTAATACACATAGTGATGGTGTAAGTATATCGACTACCCCATATCATCCCATGGGTGTTGTAAGAGGTGACAGAGGGAAACAATTTAGGAGATGGGCAGTAGCGTCTTCCTAATAACAACTAAAAATAAAAAAACTGCAGTTTCCAACCTGCTTGCCAAGTGTGGCAACCGGCAAATATCCCCCCATTGAGGCAATCTATGGGGGAGGGCTATGTTCAGTAGCGGACTTTAATAGGCTGTAATGCTATGGTTTAGAGTAATGTATTAATATTAACTATAATTTTCAGGTGTACTTGCCTGTCTTGACGGTTACATGAACATTGCACTGGAGCAAACAGAAGAATATGTCAATGGACAGCTCAAGAACAAGTATGGTGATGCCTTTATCAGAGGGAATAATGTGCTTTACATAAGTACGCAGAAACGGCGAATATAACCAATGTATTTTATCACTATTCTTAAGTTATTATAGGTTTGGGTAATAATAAAATTTCAAGAATGATGTACTTTTTATGGCAATCTGTAATCACATTTTAAAGACAATTTTTTTTAAATTAACCCTTTTATAAATGACACAAGTGGTGTAGTCATTTTCTTTTTTTTTTATAAAACCAAAGTGACAAATGAACTTGCAGTCCAACTGATGGTAAGTGACTTCTCCAGTGTATAGACACCTGCATTTGTCACCTCTGTGGATTATAATATACTCTCTACACTCTTCAGACTGGAATACAGTAATGTGCATTTATTTGCCAGACATAGGTAGGTATATAAGAACTTATTTTATTTTTCTGCCGACTTCCAAAAAGGAGATGGTACTCAATTAGACTGTTTTATTTTTATGTGTGGTACCTGATAACTTTTCACTGGTTGAACCGATTTCGATAATTCTTTTTTTATTTGAAAGCTGGTACTTTTCGTGTTGTCACATATGAATTTGATAAAGGTCAGACCAATAGTTTTTGAGTTATTCTTAATAACTTATATTGAAGTAGGCAGTACAAAATTTTTAATTATTACACAGCACAGCACTACTAATTTGATGGCAGAAATAGGAACAAAGTTGGTACGTACCCAGACGGATTTTTAGACAGAAAAGAAATCCTACACCTAGTTAATTGACTTATTATATGGGATCCTACTTGTGGCTAAAAATAAAAAGATAGTTTCTAAGACATTCAATATTCAATACATTTGCTTCTAACACATTCTGTCAATATTCAATATATGTGGTTAGGATTGCATTCACCTCCTTGACCTTCATCTAAAGAATAGCAAAATTCCATACTGCAAAAATTACAAAATTGTGTTAAGTAAGTTTACAGTAAATTCCTGTAAGAATACAGGCATTTAATGTAAACTTAATCGAGCACAGAAGTTATCGATTAAGAATCATAATACAAATGCGTTATCACCCCGGAGTCCTAAGATGAACAGTGAAAAAAAGGTAAAATGAAAGATGAGTATTTATTATACGTTGGACTCCTGATAATCCGACATGCATATAACATGTAGGTACAGTCGAGTCGCATTTAGAATCAGCCATGGAGGGGGGGGGTAGGTATGTAGGTATACTTCCCGAATATGTGGACAAACATGTTGTAACTAGTTTGCACCAACAAGAATTTTGCTTGACGCGTATTGTCTTAGTTTGAATGTGACTATGGTAGTGGCCTAGCGGGCATTCATTATTTACTGTTTAGGTATCCATTGTACATGATTTTTTTATTTGATATAATTTGTAGTATTACAAGATACTTTTTTTCAAAAAGTTCCGGGCTGCGGCAGTACTCTATAGTCCGACAAATTTGGTAATCCGACAACGCCTTACAAAACATTTGTCGGATGACTGCAGTTCAGCTGTATTTTACAATAGTCTTTGTGTGTGATTAGATTATGTTATATAATAGTGTGCTTTGTGGCATTCCTTGGGGTAGGCCTATGTTCAGCAGTGGACTTGTGAAGCACTGTAATTATTATGATATAATAGTGTAGATTATATTATATAATAGTTATTAGATTATATCATTGTGTGGTCTAATAGGTCAGCTCAAATAAACCAAGTTGGGTTTGGTTGAGCTGACCTATTAGTGTTACAGCCACTATTTCTAAGCCAGCGTTTAACAACCCCATTTGATGGTAAGTGTTGATATTTTTTTTATAAACTCCATCTTTATATCTAAAAACTTAATTACTTTTATGTGGAATAAAAAGCAACTGTACATATTAAACTTAATTTATTTCTTTGTGTAGTATAACTTCAATTCGCCATAGTCCTGAAATGAAAAAGAAAAAACATATTTAACCATTTACATAATGAGACCCAAAATTATTATGGTGTGAATAAAATCTTTATAACATTGAGATTCATATGAGTTTATAATGCCAATAAGATAAGATAGATATCTATCTATCGTGCATAAATGATTGATGAAAAATCTCTACTATGTCTGTCATAGTGATCATTTATTCCCCGCCATGCATGGGATATTATGAATCCTGCCTGCTTAGCTCACATCAACAGAGGACAGTCAAGTGTAGGGTAGCTACTCTAACCATACTGTTGTAAACAATATTACAATTTAATACTTTTTACTGTTCTATTTAAAAAAAAAAGTATATGAAATAGAGTTAGCGCTAGAGCTGAAATAGAGCTTCTATTAATTTTAATAAAAACGAGGTCCTCATTTATTTTAATTTCGACTGAAAATGTGGAGAGACTTATGAATATTATAAAAATGATAATAAATTGTTAAATTACTGAGACGTGGTACGAGGAGAGGTCAAAAAGTTCACGGAATGAAAGGAAAAGGAGGTGAATTAAACATGAAATTATTTTTCCTTTACACCTAATACACTTCTCAGACCATTCAAATAACTTAATTATACTTTCGAAAAAAATGTTTTGTCAATGCCCTCAAATTTGCCGACTTCACTTCTTTGTCATTTATAAATTGCCCGAAGCTTCATTTTTTTTATATTTGGGAACAGATAATAATCCGAATAGGCCTAATCTGGACTATAGGGAGGGTGATTTAAAGTTTCGAAGCCGCACTTGTGTAAGGAAGCCATCGCAACATAACTTGTGAACGGGTGCGATTGTCGTGCAAAACACACAAACAACACACCTCGAAACCATTTACCCCTTCTTTTTTCTTTAATCGCATCTTTAAAATTTTTCTAATAGCGTAGCGTAATACTGTCCCGTTTTATCTGTTTTATCTTTATAAATCGATCAATAAAATGTCTGAATCCCAAAAAAACTGAAGGATAGTCTTTCCAGCCGTTTGTGACACCTTGAACTTCTTAAGTGGTGCTGCGCCTTTTTATGCCGCTGCATTTATTCCTGCCTTAACTCAGGTTCATAGTGATGAACCCCAAGCTTCATCTTCAGTCATAATTCGGTTCATAATTTCATAACTTTTCTCACTACACAAGTCCAAAATCTCGCGCGAACACTCGAACCGCTGCTGTTTTAGCTGTGTGAGCATTCTTAGCACCCATTTCACACTGACCTTAGACATGCCAAGATGGTCATGAAAAATGTTTAAAACGGTCTTAGATGTTACTCCGGTCATTTCTGCGATCTGTTTTTTCTTCAGACGAGCATCTTCAAAAACAAGTTTTTCAACTTTTTCGACAATGTCCGAGGAAGTTGCCTCAATCGGTCGGTCTTAGCGCTGAGCTTGCTTCAAAAGGCTATGCCACTTAAAGATCATCCTTTTTCCAGGACAATTTTCTCCACAGTTAGAAATGAAGTTGCAGCCTTCAACAGATTTGACAGCATACAGGCAACTGAACTGACAGATTTCCAAATGCATGCGGCGGGACTTCACAACTTTAATACAACCCGTATTGAATAAGCCATCGAGCGGAACCAGGGCTCTCAAGTCTTTGCCAGAGATCTGTCTGCCATTCAGAGCTAACTGTCGAAGCTTAAGACCAAAAGTGGCAGCATCGTTTTTTTTTTATATAGGATAGGACGACAAACGAGCACACAGTCCACCTGATGGTAAGTGGTTACTGTGACGCATAGACATCTACATCTATCCTCAATAAAGACTCAAGATGCAGATGCGTTGTCACCCGTGAGGACTAAGATGGAAAGCCTCGTTTCTAGTAAAAAGGGTCTCCGGTTCTCTACACTCACCATACGAAACACAGCTGCTTTAAGCTGCTATTTTACGCTGGTTTTCTGTGAGAACGTTTTCCTTCCCCGGTCGAGCCGACCCATTCGTGCTACAACTATACTACTAATATAGCTGCAGCATGGCTCTACCACGTAAAAAAACGTGTAAACACGTTTCTGGGACACCTAAGATTTTGAGTGAAATTGAGAGGTTCGATAGGCAGCTCTACACGTCATCGTTGGAGCCACACGCAAGTGTAAGTAACGATCCAAGAGCGCGTCGTATCCGACACTATTCCCATGTCATGTTCAGTCTGAGCGAGATTAGAATGGCTCTCTAGCACCTTAAAAACGGCAAAGTCCCACGTGAGGATGGAATTACAGCGGAGCTTCTAAAAACGGGTGGAAAACCGGTACGTGAAGTCCTTCAGAAGCTCTTTAATTCCGTCCTCCATGATGGGACTACTCCGGAGGCGTAGAGCAGAAGTGCGGCGGTCGTATTCTTCAAGAAAGGCGACAACGCTCTCTTGAAGAACTACAGACCGATTTCCCTTCTGAGCCGTGTCCACGTGCTGTTTTCGAGAATCATTACGAATCGTCTTGCACGCAGACTCGACGACTTCCAGATTCCCGGACAAGCCGGTTTCCGAAAACACTTTAGTACCATATACCACATACACATACTTCGGCAAATTGTACAGAAGACATTTGGGCGGTGCTACAGTCCCTTCAGCGGTGCCAAGTTGACTTTTGGTATGTCGAAGTGCTGAAGTGTTTGTATAGTACGGCTACGATGGCTATCCGAGTACAGAATCAGAGTACGAAACCTATCCAACTGCAGAGAGGTGTAAGACAGGGTGACGTTATATCCCCGAAACTCTTCATTGGAATGCAGCGGGCATTGGAAGACGTTTTCAAACTACTGGACTGGCAAGGATACAGTATTAATATCAATGCCGAGTACATCAGTCACCTTCGATTTGCTGATGATATAGTCCTTATGACAGAATCGCTGGAGGACCTAAGCACTATGCTCAATGACCTCAATAGTGTCTCACAACGGATAGGTCTTAAGATGAACATGGACAAAACAAAGATCATGTTTAATGTCCATGTCACACCTATGCCGGTAGTTATTGGGAGCACTAAGCTTGAAGTTGTTGACGAGTATGTTTACCTGGGACAAATAGTCCAACTTCGATCGATCGACGGATTCAACTTGGCTGGGCAGCGTTCGGGAGATTACGACACATCTTCCCGTCAGGCATACCTCAAAGCCTCAAAACAAGATTGTACAACCAGTGCGTGTTGCTAGTGATGACCTATGGATCTGAGACGTGGTCCTTCACTGCTGGTCGTATGAGAAAGCTTAAGGTCGCTCAGCGAGCTATGGAGGGGCCTATAATCAGAGTTTCTCTGCGTGATAGAACGAACGATAAAAACGAGGATATCCGCAGTAGAACCAGAGTAACCGACATAGCCCAACGGATTAGTAAGCTGCAGTGCCAATGGGCTAGCCATATAGCTTGAAGAACCGACAACCGATGGAACAAAGAAAGGTTCTCAAGTGGGGCAGCCTCGTACCGGCAGGCGAAGCCTAGTAACGATGGTGACGGTCTGGTAAGACATGCAGGAAGTCAATGGATGCAGGTGGCTCCGGACTGTGCTTTGTGGCATTCCTTGGGGGAGGTCTATGTTCAGCAGTGGACTTGTGAACAGCAAGGGCTGTAATGGTAATGATGAATGACGTGTTTTTTTTTTTATATGAGAGGGGGCAAACGAGCATGCGGCTCACCTGATGGTAAGTGACTACCGCCGCCCATGAACAACTGCAACACCAGGGGAATCGCAGATGCGTTGCCGGCCTTTTAAAAAGGAGTAGGCTCTTTTCTTGAAGGTCCCTAAGTCGTACCGGTCCGGAAAAATCGCTGGTGGTAATCGATTCCACAAGGAAGTTGTGCGAGGGATAAAATGTAACGTGATCTTCTCAAGTCGGCAGTAAAGCCCAACCTCCTTTGCTTCGCCTTCGAGATGTGTAAAAATAACAGAAGTGTAATCTATAACCATAATTTAAAAATGTGCTTATTATAAAGCTAATTGGAATTTCTCTACTACTGCTCAGTATTTCGATAATGTTTCTTTTAAAGCTGGTTTTTGACAGTGCAAATAGACTATTCACGTTAGAAAAGTCATCATTGAAAGATTTCATAAATGCCTCTACGCTCGCACGCTGAGTTCTGCATTTTTCTGCACAAGAATTACCTTCCCTTTTCAACATCGAATGAACAAGCGGTCGGCGGGTCTTCAACCTTTTTCTGTTAATATTCCACGCTTTCGAATCAAACAATTTATTTCTTCTTTCATTTAGGTCCAATTACAATCTGTGTGTCTATAAGGAAATCGTGAATAGGATTTTGTTACGCTAAGAAAGTGCGATTTACCATCTCAGGTCTACATTACCACCAGGTGGGATTGTAATCAAGCACTGGCTTTATTAAAAAGAAAATATTTGATCTAAGAGGGACCTCCTCTTAAATATGGAATGGGGAAATTATCCAAGAGAATATCATATGAACATTTATCACGGAAACATTTATTGGAGGGGCAAATGAGCATGCAGCTCACCTGATGATAAGTGACCACTAACACTCATATGTATCTGCAACAAATTGCAGCTGCATTGTGGGTCTTTTAGAGGCCTTTTAGAAAGGTGTAGGCACTTTCCTTGGTAGTTTTATTTGTTCGGAAAAACAGTATGGGGTGTTTTCGTCTGCAAGTAATGTGATTGTTTCTCGCAATGATATCAAACAGTTCATCAGATAATTAGGCAGTTCCACAAAAACCTTATCAGATAAGTACGTGTGTATACACAAACTTCTGTTTGCATAAACGAAGACCATGACGTTTCAATCAATACCGCAACCAAGATTTGTTAGTATTTGTTCAGATGTGAAAATATTTACGTCGCCTAAGTCTCTACGTTAGCCCGGTCTGTTGTTGGTATATCTTTAGCATATAGAATGAGTCCAAAAACAGAACCTTGAGGTACGCTCGCTTGATTATATGTTTTAAATCTTTTATTTAAGAAATGAGTAAATACCATATAATAATTTAAATATAGGCCTTACCTATGTTATTTAAATATAATGTCGTTTAAGAAACTATTATTAATTACCTAAATTTGTTGATTATCGTTTATTTAAATTAAGTATTTTTTGCCATTTAGTGAAGAGAGAGAGAGAGACAGCTTCTTTAAACATTTCTTAAATTGATGACGATTTTTATCACTCAGCAGAGCACCGTCTTTCTAGGAGTAATGACAGACAATCGCGCTGTTCGTCGCGGATCGTCCGTTCTACCAAGTCGCACCGCATGTATGCTAATCAAACTGTTGTTGCGACGGCGACGACTGTCGATGGATAATATGTACTACCGTCGATGTGTAAATAAGGCCGCAAGTCGTTAACCCATTCACTGTCTTCCTAAGAAATGACAACATTTCATGCCGCCTTACACTGTTATTCAACCCGTCCATCAGCGGGCCCGGCATCTCGATAAAGTATCTTGGCCCGCCCATCGGCGGTTTCGGCAGGAGGCCTTAGATTTCGTCGTGAGATATTTTTAATGTCTAAATTACACATCCTGTGCATTGCGTAGAGCGTGTTAGCGTATATTTTTGTGTTATTTGTGGGAAAAAATTGTGCCAGTTTCATTTGTTATTGTTGTTGTTAATCGAATTATTAATGGAGTGTGAAGATAAGGCACAACTTGCAGCTAATTCCAATAAGACGAAGGAAATGTATCTTAATCTGCGTATAAGATAGATTTTAAGTACGAGCTTAGTACAAGGAAATCTAAAATGAAATATAAAAGCTTACGTTTTAAGGCTTTTCTTTTCAAGTCATGCGTAGTCAACTTTTTTTATAAGATAAGGGTGACAAACGAGCACACAGTTCACCTGGTGGTAAGTGGTTGCTGCGGCCCATAAACATCTACATCTATCCTCGATCACAAATCAAAATGCAGATGCGTCGTCACTCGTGACGACTAAGATTGGTAGTGAGAAGGAACGCCTCGTTTCCAGTACAATTAATATAGCTGCAGCATGGCTCTACCACGGGTCGGCTCGACTGGGGAAGAACCACGCTCTCACAGAATACCAGCGTAAAATAGCTGATTAATGCTGCTGTGTGTCGTATGGTGAGTGTAGAGAACCGGAGACCCTTTTTTACTGGAAAGGAGGCATTCCATCTTAGTCCTCATAGCTGACAACGCATCTGCATTTTGATTCGCAAACGAGGATAGATGTAGCAGCAAACACTTACCATCGGGTGGACTGTGTGCTCGCTTGTCACCGTTATCATATAAAAAATCTTTCACTTGACTTTCTTTAATTATTTTCACTGTTAAAGTTTAATTTTCTCATGGCATAATCTCTTATATATATTATCCTAGGGACGAAAAGAGGTGATCGATTTGCTTACCCCACACAGCTTACAAGAAGGTTAATAACTTTTGTAAATTTTCACTTTTGTGCCTATTCTTGATTTATCATCCATGATTATCGTATTATTACACACTGTTCTTTACCTTATTAGATCGACTATCCGGTCCCTTTCCATTCCCCAAGTCGGCTATCAAGTCCTTTCCTCTGTAGCCGTTTTTTTGTTGATATTCCTCCCTGTTGTTCCTCCCGACGTCGGGGTCAAATCTTGCGTCGACGCGGTAATTCAAAATCTTTCGATCAAACAAGGGCGCCCAAAAACTCGAAAACAAGAATACGCACTCACTGAATACCGAAAATGCCAAAATTAAAAATAATAGTTTAAACATTATTTTAATGTTGGCTGGAATGAATTTAAAAAAAAATGTTTTCACTTGGCGGGAAATAAAAAAGATTGTTACACTTTAAAATGTATTTTTAGGACCAGTGGCAGGCTACAAATGATCTGAGTCAGGAAACAGAAACTCGGTAAATAAAAATCGCAAATAAGCAAATATTTTATGTTTAACTTGTTTTGTTTAACGTGTTAACATAGTCCAAGGTTTATGGCGCAGTTGTGTTATTTAAGGGACATACACAGTACACTCTTAAGGTCACGTAGCTCCCGTTCAGTAGACTCGTGTGCTTGTAGCACAGAGTACTTTTTTATATAGGAACGAAATTTTATATAGGAAGGAACGAAAAAAAAAAGAATTTTGCACATTCAGAACCTCCTTGCTTGTAGCAAGGAGGTTCTGAATGTGCAAAATCAGTTTTAACCGTCTTAAAAAAGACGAGGTTAAAATGTGTGTATGTTCCTTTTATGTTACAGATTTTTTTCATTGAGATTGAGGCGTGGAAAAAATATTATTACCTACTAAAATCGATACTTCATTTTAAATAAAACACAGCGTTCGGCATTGGCTAGAAATTCTAAATGAAAATAAGTTTTGAAAATAAAACGTCAAATTTGAAAATTAAATTAAATTAAAAGTTGATATATCCGAGGTAGGTATACCATCTTAGTCCTAAGAGATGACAACGCGTCTGCATTTTGATTCTTAATCGAAGATAAATGTAGATGTCTATGGCTACAGAATCCACTTACCATCAGGTGGACTGTGTGCTCGTTTGTCACCATTATTCTATAAAAATGTGGCCCATAGACATCTACTCTACTAACCTCGTTCGCGAATTAAATGCACATGCGTTGTCAGCCGTGAGGATCAAGATGGAATGCCACTTTTGCAGTATAAAAAGATCTCCGGTTCTCTACACTCACCATACGAAACGCAGCAGTGTTAAGCTGCTATTTTACGCTGGTATTCTGTGAGAGCGTGGTCCTTACCCGGTCGAGCCGAGTCATTCGTGCTACAAGTATACTATTAATATTGCTGTAGCATGGCTCTACCACGTATAAACGGTAATAGAAATATGTTATATAACTGTATAGTTACAGTTACAGGTTCACCTAACAACCATCAGAAGTCCACGTCTGTACAAAGACCTCCCCATAGATTGTCTCATAGGGGAGATACTTGCCATGGTACACTAATTACAGATATTGTTATTGTATCTATTGGCTACATCTTGAAGCGTACTTCCATTATAATATACTTCAAGCCGCCGAAGAAGATTAGTGAGTTTTTACTATCAGTCAAGTGTAATGTCCCTCTGCAAGATGCATGAGTGTACAAGCTTGATTGTGAATGTGGTCTCTGGTCTCTCTAATATAGGACAAACAAAAATATCAATAAAAACAAACAATAAAAAGCTGTTATTCCTTGTATGATTGTATTTAATGTATTCAATAGGTTTGAAATAGACATGCAACGAATAGTAAATTCGTTCGAATGCCGAATACCAAATATTCTGCGGACTTCCTGGCTGAGTAACCGAATATTAGGCAAAGTATTCGGCTGGGAAGGAAATAGTGTTTATTATTTTAGCGTCTATTCTCTGAAGCTGGAATTACGAGAAGAAAAGGAGTAAACTACTGCCTGAAAACGAAGAAAAATTAGTCTTTCTCTACCATTATCTTCCACTATAATTACGATAATTCCAGTGCATAGACATTTATCTTATAGTTCTTTATTTAATTTTTATAATATGGACGTTGATTATGTACCTATGGCTACTTAAATTTACTAAAATTAAACAAATAAAGATTAAAACAAGGATAAAATTACAAGAAAAATTATTTATTAATAAAATAAGTAAATATTTTAATTTTACCAATTTTTTTATAGGATAGGGTGACAAACGAGCACACAGTCCACCTGATAGTAAGTGGTTGCTGTGGCCTATAGACATCTACATCTATCCTCGCTTGCGTATCAAAATGCAGATGCGTTGTCACCCGTGAGGACTAAGATTGAATGCCTCTTTTCTAGTAAAAAGGGTCTCCGGTCTTCTACACTCACCATACGAAACACAGCAGTTTTAAGCTGCTATTTTACGCTGGTATTCTGTGAGAGCGTGTGGTCCTTTCCCGGTCGAGTCGACCCATTAGTGCTGCAACTATACTACTAATATGGCTGCAGCATGGCTCTACCACGTAATAAATTATCTGACTACAATAATACTTCATACTAAGTATTCGGTATTCGGCCGAATAGTACCTAAATATTCGGTATTCGATCGAATAGGCCGAATACCGAACAATAGCCGAATATTCGTCGCAATACTAGTTCGAAATAATGATTCCCAATTGTGGGAAGGAAATTGATGCTATTCAATTACTAACACTATCAGTGAACGCAAATACATTCTATAGAACATACACACAATTTTATTCGTGCTTTATTTTCACATATCTACATAGTATAAAATAAAGTCGCTTCCCACCGGCTGTACGCTTACATCTTTTAAACTATGCAACTGATTTAGATACGGTTTTCATCAATAGACCGAATAGTTCAAGAGGAAGGTTTATAACTTTGTGTGTGCGATTAAGTTCATTAGAGAATAGTTTAGATTCACAATTGGACCCGGTAGGTGTTGTTGTTGTCGAGATCCAAAAATCAACCGTGCGAAGTCGGGCCGGATCGCTAGTACGAGTATTTAATAAATTGCTAGTTACAGATAAACTTCCGCTTAATGACATAATATTGGTCTTTATTCTGTACACTGTAAGACCTTTACCTTGACATAAATTGAATATTTTACGATTTTCTCGACTGCACAATCGTATATAGCGTTTAGTGCTGTGCAAGTCCATTACTTACTTACTTACTTACTTATCTTCACGCACAATCCCTGACGGGGTAGCCAGAGAGAACAGATCGCCAAGTGTCACGATCCTTACATACCTCTTTCGCTTCTTTCAGATTCATTATCTTCTTCATCCATTACAATAATATTTTGTTCAAGATCATACAACAATTTTTCTTCTCCTTCCTCATCATTATATCATCATCATCACAGCCCTTCACAAGTCCACTGCTGAACATAGGCCTCCCCCAAGGAATGCCACAAAGCACGATCCTGAGCCACCTGTATCCATCGACTTCCTGCATGTCTTACCAGGTCGTCACTCTATCTAGTGAGGGACGCCCTACATCTCTACACTTCACTTACCGATACGAGGCTGCCACCTGCGAACCTTTCTTCCCCATCAGTTGTCGGTTCTTCGAGCTACATGGCCGGCCATTGCCACTTCAGCTTAATAATCCGTTGGGCTACGTGGGTTACTCTGATTCTACTGCGAATATCCTCATTTTACCACATTTTTAATAAGTCACTTTCTTGTTTGTCTGTCTGTCTGTCGTTGCGTGGAATCTTGCAACTAAAATTTCGAGCACTTCCCGATTAGCTAGAGACTTGAAATTTTGAACATAGCTCAGAATCGGGTGACAATGTAAGAAAAAAACATGGTAAGTATATTATTATTTTTAGTACAAAATAAAAAAATCACTCGTTTAAGTCTATCACATACTGTATACTATATCTATACTAGTCTTCAATAAAATAACACACTCACACTCTCTCTCTCTCACACACACACACATACATATTTCTGTACAATACTAATATACATCATAATAGGTACTTAGACAATAGATGGGGAAGTCTGAGGCCTGTAGCACAGTTTTAACTAACGCAGGCTTCAGAACTCAAAAATAATTAACTATAATGTAATGTATGTCATTTCTTCTTCAGCATCCAGTAATATTCACACAATTTTACAAACGATTTATTCAATTACTAAACTGACTGCTTTCAAGTTTTAATGGGACCTTGCAATTAAAGTCTTAAAAACATTTAATATATAAAGAGGTCATTTAAAAGGCGACACTGGCGGGGTTATAAATACAATAAATATTAATAAAAGCGGCCAAGTGTGAGTCGGACTTGCCCATGAAGGGTTCTGTAGCAACAAGTAACATAATTTACGATTTATGACGCATAAAAAAAACTACTTACTAGATCTCATCCAAACCAATTTTCGGTGGAAGTGTACATCACATATTTTTTTAGTTTTATCGTTCTCTTATTTTAGAAGTTATGGGGACACATTTTACTACTTTGGAAGTGTCTCTCGCGCAAATTATTCAGTTTAGAAAAAAATTATATAAGAAACCTTATTATCATTTTTGAAGACCTATCCATAGACACCACGTATGGGTTTGATGAAAAAAAATTCAGTTCAGTTTTGATGAAAAGAGTTTCAGTTCTAAGTATGGGGAACCCCAAAAAGGAGATTGCTCTGCGCCCATACATTGTTCGCCCTGGAACCAAGAGCATCAGAAAATTATGTATTTTAATGTTGATCATTAGTAAATTCCTATTTGATCTTATTTTTATAGCGGACTAGCTGTATAATAGATATATTTCAAAAAAAGTATCAGATTTTGAGGTTATAATCGAACCATGAATATTACGGTTTTTCAGAGATCCGAGTGATTTTTAACAAACTGAAAAACGATGTCCTAAAACATTTAGTTATTTCTAGTACCTATCTACATAATTAGGTATGCAGTTTTTATTCTAAAGCCTAAGTGTATGTAAGTGCAACGTATAAATGCATAGAATGTAGTTAACAAACCTGCTTTCTGAGCATTGGTTTTGAAATGAGAGATAATATTTGTGTGTATTAATGTAAAAATAAAAATATATGTATATAATAGCTGTTAGCATTTAGATGTTGTCATTAGCATATACGATACGGTAAGATACCTAGTACCTAAATGTATAAGGATTTAGGCTGTCAGTCACGCCGCTAGACATGCCGTCGAACAGCGAGCGTATCAACCACAGTTTCAACCAAGTTTCAACAGCGCGCGCATGAACAGCGTGAATATTATAGACTACTACGAGTATCTAGTACATTTGCTAGCGTGTGCGTCTG